GTGCCGGACGATGGAGTCTCCGATGATCACAGCGTTGCGTTCCGTCTCGCAGAGGGGAGCGAAGCGGTTCCCGGTGGAGATCTCGAGGCGGCGAGGCGGCGGAGGGGGAGAGGTCGTCACCCGGGGCCTGGCTCGCATCTTACGCTGCAGGGTCCGTGGTGTAGGAGTGAAGGCAGCCTGGGATGTTTCCAGCGCGGCTCTCCGCGCTCTCAGCTGGGTCTCCCTCTCCACCAGGTCACGGATCTGCTTCTCCGCGGCCTCCAGCTCGAGCTTTATTCAATGTCCTCACCTGCACTCAAAGGTAGACACACATCTGCCATAAATGCAAGTAACAGTGAGTAAAACAATGGTAATGTGTGTGAAAAGAGTGGTAGCAATGTAAGCTAGATTAACGGCAACCACTCTGTGACACTGTCACACAGGACACATGTTTTAACCTGCTCAATATACTTTTTATTATTTTATGTATATTTGAGTTTTAATAGGTTTTCATGTTGTCTTAACCATTTTATTCCTCTTAACCAATTTAATGTGTGTATGTCTTTAAATGAGTTTGGGTCTGCCTGTCATGTGACTGATCACATGACAGGAAGTAGGAAATGGACAGCATAAAGGAGGCAGCATGTCAAACAAGCATGGTTGTTGCTCTCATTACGACCAAGTGGTGATCACCTGAAAACTGGAATAGTGGAGTTACCTTTGTGGACTTACCTTTCCAGCTCTTTGGATTAACACTACAGTGGACTGTTGTATATACACCGGTGGACACTTTTGGGGACATTTACTTTGGGACTAGCAACACACTGGATTTCTTAAGGACGGTTTTAATGGTATGAAACTGAAAGACTCTGTGCTTTTAACAGCCTAAGTCATTCTAGTTTTGTGTTGTTTTAAGTCTCTTGTGAATATTGTAAATGCATATTTGATTTTCACTTTTAACATTGTTGTCTGTCTCATCTTTTAAACACTCAAAGCTCTCACATAGTATAATCTGACCCCTTTTTAACAAACGTAACATCTTCCAATAAGGCCGATCGTTACAACGTTGGCGATGCTAATGGGCTATATGCTAATAGCGGACTCAGGAAATAAAAATAAAATTAGTGATAACAAGGTGCTCTGATTGTTTTTGTTGTAGAATACGATAGGGGATATGATCGTAACATTTTGAATTCATGATTGCTTGATTGCAAAATTAAAATTCTAAACGGAACGATTCAATAACGTTATTAACCTGTTAAAGGCCATTTCAAATAGGAATATCTGTTCAGAATGATTACATTTAATTAATTTTTTGTTTCGGTTATGTTCCTGTCAATTTCATTTGTTTCCAGTTTTTGATTTCCTTGAACCAGTTCTTAAACCGGCTCTGGGCAGAGCATGTGAGCGAAGCACTCCGCTATGATTTCCGCTCTATGGACGTGCGCTCCACTCAGTCGCTCTAAGCACCCAAGCAAGCGCTCCGTTAATATTCAGCTTACGCTCGCCGTAAACCAATTCCCGTTCCGACATACAATTTCTCTAGTAGGCCTAATTGTTTACTGTTTGTACCGAAATTCTTGGATTATTGTCTAAAATTAAGCATGCTGATAAATAGCAATTATCATGTTTCAGAGCGAAATTCTTACATTCTTCTTAATTTTATTAATTGTAATGTATTAATTAATGTATCAAATATATGAATCTAACCTTAGCAAACCTACCTAAAATGCAAAAACTCAAAGGGTATTTGAGTTTCGTTAACTTTATTTCCGTGGAAATAGCTGCAGTTGTTGTGCAATAGAACATTCAAAACAGGCTCATTAAAACACAAACGCACACACACACGAGATGAAATGTGTGTAGATCTTTACAAAATACACCTGGATTATAAAGCCTGTGAAAAGCACACACAAGATAAAATGCACTTAAAGAACGCTTGGATTATGAACTGACGTCAATGAAAGAAACACACTTTCTAGTGTCAAGTTAAAATAAACCATAACTGCGGGGAACTGTGGTCTATTAAAACGTCTCTTGATGTTTACTGGATTTTAGAATTTACTTTAAGAAACATTAGCTTGGACAAAGTGTCAGACTTCAGGCTCATTCAGTGTGCCCAGGAAAGCAATCCAGCGGCAGAAAACACTCGCTCAGTGCTGGAAGAACCACTGGGGATGCTGAAGATTTTGCAGGCGACCATGGCTAGTTGAGGGAGGGATCCAGCACTGGTTTTCCAAAATCCTAGTACATCTTCCTGTGGACTTTTTCTCATTGAGCCCAGGTACTCCTCCATCTGACCTCTGGCGGTGTCAGCTACACTCGAGTTACTCTCATATGAGCCGAAAATGCGCACCTTCTTGGGAACACTTCTGGCCTCAGTAACTGTGTCTATACGACTGCATTCTGCCTCCTTCACCAACATTTCGCGAATCTCTGCGAGTTGATTGCTCACTGTACCATCTCTAATAATCCATTCTGTTTTTATATGTGGATCTAATACAGCCGCCAACACAAGGTGCTTGTCAGAATAGAATCTGTTAAAACAAGAGGAGACATTAACTGACAGTGTCTCCGCAAACGCACAAATGGGTAGTCCCTCCTCTTCTACTGCACTTTCCTCAAACCCTGGGAGGTTGAAAGCCTTTATCATGTTACTACCTGTTTATTCATTTATTATGGTATGTAACTAGATCACGTTTTGCGGCACCATGTTTGCGTAGCACATCCTCGTGCTTTCTGGCAATGTGCCGCTTCAGATTCCAATATGAATCTTTACTAACTCTCCCCGCACTCCATCTCAGTTTCTTCTCCCTGCTCATTCTTAACTTAGATTTTTTACTTTACATTTATGTGTAAGGCTTGCAACTTCTTTGAAACAATATCTGAACTCCATAACTGCTCTACTATTCTCGATCGCTACAGATTCTCGATCTCGAACAAGCAAATCACCAAAAAATCACCGCTCCGCTCACATGCTCTGGCTCTGGGTAGAAGAGAACGCTGTACATTCACTCCCCCCCCCACCAACAATCCCTCCCGGTATAGAGACTCGAACCTTTGTTTTCTCTTCATATGTCCCCTGGATACAAAAATACTTGCATGCTCGAGTGTTTCAGAACCTGTCTCAACAGCTCTTGCTTGAAGTGAATCTAGTCAAAGGCTTTGTCCACTCTGTACTCTCTAAAGCTATGTGAACATGTCAGTGTTGTGGCATACTTTATCCCCATAAATATCAACACTTACCTACATCAGTTTGCCCCATCAGAATTTTAGAAACAGAACATCAGAAACATATTTGCACTATAATGAATCATAAATGATTTGTGGAACACTTTAAAAAATAGAAAATATTTTTATATCTGATTTTTATACTCTGTTTTGAGTTTAACTTGCATCCTGTAGTTCCCTGTGGCTGTTCAACTTTTATCTTCTCCGACAAGCAAAGATATGCTGACAAATATTGATTATATTGTTAATAGAATATATGGTTGCTTGCGTTTATTTTAACGTTCAATTAATTGTTTTACATGTCATGTTAGGGTGTTACGCACATTTCACGAATGCCCTGGGCCAGAATCCACAAATAATTATTTGAATTAATATTGTTATATTATTTTGTCTTCTCTAGTTCCCTATTGGCTGAGCTGGGGAAGCGAGGCTATAAAGTGGAAGGAGGCGAACTCTCGTCTCTCTCTCTGCCAGTCACAGCCACATCGTTATGTCTCACCTTAAGCTGCAGTCACACTAGACTTTTCGTTCCACTGACTGCCATTCATACACATACGAATGCGTCAAACCGGAAACACAAGCCGTGCGAAGATATTTAGCATTTTACTGCGTAGCAAAGTTCAAGTTTGGTGAATTCGCGTCACGTGAATGCGTGAGACCAATAGAAGTTCAAAACATCACAAAGTGACCTCTCGGTACAGAAATTTAAAACATGGAGGAATCGCTAATTTTAGCTGTGTCGCATCATCCGATCTTATACAATACAACTTTAAAAGATTACAAAAATCTAATAAAAAGAGAAGCGGCTTGGTTTGCGGTGGCAAGGGAAACAGAAGCAGATGGTACAATTGAACAGTGAAACATGTAATTTTATGTGATTTTTTTTTTTTATTGCATGAGATTTGTATGTGTGCTAGGGATGGCTCGATACCACAATTTTGACTTCGGGAAGATACTAGGATCTAATACCTCGGTTTTGATACTAAATCGATACCATATGTGACAAATAACCAGCCTCAAAATATAAGTGAATTGAAAACAATTTTATTAAACACACTGCTTGGAACTTTGAATAAAAAATTGTGCAAACAAAATGTCAAAAAAAAAAAAAAAACTACATTGAACATAGGTCAAATTTTGATTTTGAAGAAAAAAAACTGAAGAGATAAAATTAAAATGGGATCATCTCTTCATATCGTTTCAGTCTTTATCACATGGTGCAAAGAAAATGTATCAGAATGTAACAAAAATAAAACTACAGAGTAGAGTTTACAGGAAAGACTGAATAAAATTAGTTTACATCTTCATATCTTTTCAGTCTTTATTTATTTGCTAGCTCCTTTGTTAGACCAAACGATCGGGCAATGCCCGCTTATGACGTCACTGCCGCGCCGTGCCGGCGCAATGCGATCATAGTCTGACGAAACCATTGTTGTTTGTATGTGGGGAACTTTGTTGTCTTTTCGGTGGAGAGAAAAGATATTAAATGTTAACGATTTGTGTTATTAATATTTGTGTTCTACAATGGTTTATTGGTTTTGTGTTTTATAATGTGATTGATGTTTTATGTGAAGTTTATGAGTTAAAATGAGATTATAAGATTAAATGCTTACCTATTAGTGGTACCCTCCAGATAGGGGGTGGATGAGATCAGTCAACAGCTCAGCAATGAAGACAGAAGACAGAATCCACCTCAGACAGACACTCTGAGAGATGAAGCTTCAACTGACGGCCAACAATACTGCCATCTGAGCTTCTCTGACATCCACGCAGCACTGAGAGAACTGACCGCCACCGTCACAGAGCAGAAAGCCAACATCAGAGCTTTAGAGACACGACTGAGGGACGCTGAGAAAACTGCTGAACAACTTTCATCCTGAAAGAGCTGAACAAGAAAAATGATGGTGCCTCACCAAAACATTCACACTTTTATCAGTGATCCTCAGAGGAAAACACCAATGTTATTCTATGCAAAGTGTAAATGTTAGTGTAAAACTGAGTTTTTTTTTTCTGTATAAACTGTGTTTTCTATTACAATAAGCATTATAAATGTAATTTAACACAATCTTTATTTCTTCACAGAAAATTCCAATCTTACTCAGAGTCAAGTGGAGGAGCTGAGAAAGGAAAATAGAGGTGAAACAGTGTGTTTGAATGATGTTAATACATCCCCAGTGTAATAGAGTAATACATCACAGTATTGCTCATGTTTTACAATCACAGACAGAGAGATAGCGTTCTCAGCTGCACTGATGGAATCTGGCAGTGGAGATGTTGGTCCTTTCACCACTGACATCACACTAACCTACAGGAACGTCTTCACAAACATAGGGTATGCCTACAACCCAATTACAGGTAATTGTCAATGAAGTGGTGTCATAAAACCACAATCTGTCAAACACATCTTACCAGCAAACATACAATCGTTCACATCCTTCACTTCACTCTCTGAGGCAGAAGTCTCCAAACTCATCCTTTCTAATCATCCTACTACTTGTCCGCTTGATCCTATTCCATCTCATCTCCTTCAAGCCATTTCTCCTGCCGTTGTACCTGCACTCACTCACATCAAGACATTCCTTCACACTGGTGTTTTTCCCTCAACATTTAAACAGGCTCGTATAACCCCACTTCTTAAGAAACCCACTCTTAACCCAACTCTTTTAGAGAACTACAGACCGGTTTCCCTTCTACCTTTCCATGCAAAAACACTTGAACGAGTTGTGTTCAATCAAGTCTCTGCCTTTCTCACACAGAACAACCTCCTGGACAGCAACCAGTCTGGCTTCAGAAGTGGACATTCGACCGAGACTGCCTTGCTCTCAGTTGTTGAAGCCCTAAGACTGGCAAGAGCGTCTTCCAAATCTTCAATACTTATTTTGCTGGATCTGTCCGCTGCTTTTGACACAGTTAACCACCAGATCCTCCTGTCAACCAGAGTATGTGAGCGGAGTGGAGCGGCAACAATTTCCCCTCCGCGCTCCAAGTGTTCAATAATCACTCCGCTCCAGCTCCGCATACACCATTTCCCGCTCCCGCCCCACTGATCAGAAACACTGCTCCGCGGCTAAATTATGTCACTATGCTTGAAAAAATCAAAGTTCTGTTCATAAATCATATTAAACAAAAAAAAATCCTTAATTCTAGAAGAATAATTTTAGCATGGTTTATTGGAACACTACAATTAGCCCAAGTCCAAAATAAATGACTGCTTAACTGCTAGTTTACTTGCCTGTGCAACGTCTCTCTACTATGGCGAAGCTGAGGGTAGTTACTTCAGAAACAGAAAGAATATGCTGTAACTTTTCTGTTTTTAAGCTGATAAATCACAGCACAGCGTTGACCAAATTTTCTTCATTCCTGAATGTATGTGCGGGATCTGTACGTTATGTGTGAGCTTGTGTATTCTGTCCGTGTGCAGCAATGTAGCAGCACATTAGTTTCGAGCGGAGATTAACAAACTGTACAACTTACAACATGCTTTAACCACACTCGTCCATCGCCATTTTAACCTTCATATGTGATCCACATATCTGTCAAGCTAACTAATTATGTTTAATGCGTGAGTTGGCATAATTTGTGCTCGTGACGGAGCGTTCTCGGAGCGAGTGAAAACTTCAACGCTTCGACTTTCAAAAAAATCCGCACCTAGCTCCAGGCAAAATCACGCCGCTCCGCTCATATACTCTGCTGTCAACCCTATTTGAAAATGGCATCTCAGGAACCGCACGCAAGTAGTTTGAGTCTTACCTCTCAGATAGGTCCTTCAAGGTATCTTGGAGAGGTGAGGTGTCACAACATCTAGCTACTGGGGTGCCTCAGGGCTCAGTTCTTGGACCACTTCTCTTCTCTGTCTACATGGCATCACTAGGTTCTGTCATTCAGAAACATGGCTTTTCATATCACTGCTATGCTGATGACACTCAACGCTACCTCTCATTCCATCCTGATGATCCGACGATAGCTGCTCGCATCTCAGCTTGTCTAACAGACATTTCTTGTTGGATGACGGACCATCACCTTCAACTCAACCTGGCTAAGACAAAACTGCTTGTGGTTCCATCAAACCCATCGTTTCATCACAATTTCACCATCCAGCTAGGCGCATCAACCATAACTCCTTCAAAAACAGCCAGAAACCTTGGAGTTATGATTGATGATCAGCTGACTTTCTCAGACCACGTTGCTAAAACGTCCTGGTCCTTCAGATTTGCTTTATTCAACGTCAAGAAGATCAGGACCTTTCTTTCTGAACATACCTCAGAACTGCTTGTTCAAGCTCTTGTTCTCTCCAGGCTGGACTATTGCAATGCTCTCTTGGCAGGTCTTCCAATCACCTCTATCAAACCTTTACAATTAATCCAGAACGTGGCAGCTAGATTAATTTTTAATGTCCTGAAAAGAACGCATGTCACACCTCTGTTCATCAATTTGCACTGGCTACCAGTAGCTGCTCGCATTAAATTCAAGGCATTTTGTGGCCTACAAAACCACCACTGGCTCTGCACCCCTTTACCTAAATGTATTACTTCAGACTTATGTGCCTCTAGAAGCTTGCGTTCTGCAAGTGAACATCACTTTATTGTTCATCCCAAAGAGGCACAAAATCATTTTCAAAGACTTTTTCATTAACTGTTCCTTCCTGGTGGAAAGACCTGCTCAACCACTGAGTCCTTAACCATCTTCAAGAGTCGGCTAAAACACATTTATTCCAACTTTATTTGAGTCAAGTCAAGTTTATTTGTACAGCGCTTTTCACGATACAAATCATTGCAAAGCAACTTTACAGCAAATTAAGTTTCTACAATATTTAGTGTTCGCTTATCAGTGGTGACTGTCAGTTAATGTACATATGGCAGAAATGTACGGAAAAATCAATTTAAGACGTAATAAAACAGATGATGAACCCTATTAACAGCAAGTATTATATGATGCAATCAAACTTATAGCAAAATGTGGTAGTTCTGTAAGTTGTTCTGTTAGTAGTCATCTTTAATAACAAGATTTTGCCAAAATGTATTAAACGGAAAAACGGTCAATGCTGTAAAGAGATTAAAGTATTTTTTCAAGATATTTAAAAATGTTTGCTACAAGGTTAAAAAACACTACTTGTATAAAATTGTGTTTTGAGAGGAAAATTGTATTACATTTTATTATTACATCCAGAAATAATGTAGGCTATAATACCGGTAAATAAAGCAAAATGTTTACAAACATTATAAACACAATTAGGCTATTTTAGTTCCCTTCTCTCTACAACAAATCCTCTAAAGTTAACAGTATTTAGGCTAGGCTATATAAGCGTCAAGCCAAAACAAATTAATTTAAAGAGAAAATTAAGCCTGCCTCTCTCATTCGCATGAATCCAAATGCTTCCATATCCGTGACGTATCTGGATGCTAAAATATTATTTATTATGTATAGGCTTTATCGACATTGGCTTAAAACATCATCCTTCACATCAGCTATAACAGCACAGTGGGGCGGTGGTCACGTTGAATGCCACAGATTGTACGACGGACTATTTAAATTGTGCAGTGTAAATTTTTATAAGCTTTAACTATTTTATTTTGATAATGAACAGGCTGCAGTGTCAAGGTAACTAAAATGTTGTGTGTGTGTGTTTGTGTGTGCATTACTGCATTATTATCACTGCATTATTTTCCCTTCTAAGAAAGGAAATGCTCTCGGTTACTCACGTAACCTCGGTTCCCTGAGATGAGGGAACGAGACATTGCTATGGGAATTACCCTTTTCTCCAAATACTACTGAAGCCTTACTGAATCACGCCAGTGAATCTGGCCAATGGCGTTCAAGCGCGTGAAATATGAGGGGCTCCCACTCTATATAAAGCAGCGCTTGTATGTCATCTATTTAGAATCTTGACTGAAGCAACTTTGCATTTTAAGATCCTGAGCTAGGGGACATGGCAATAAAAGCAATGTCTCGTTCCCTCATCTCAGGGAACCGAGGTTACGTGAGTAACCGAGAGCGTTCCCTTTCGAATCAGTTACTCTACATTGCTATGGGAACGTATAAAATCCTGCCGTGTCACAGCGATGGAGCCTGGCTCGAGTAAGTATGTCAAGTTTCACATACGGAACTGTAATGAGAGCGGCAATGATATTGGTGCTCTTGTTAAACACAGCTCAGGTCTACAGGACCTAGTTGAAACCATGTAAAAGTCAAGGGGCGAAGTTAAAGCCGGTGAAACGGAGAATGTGAAATGGTGGCATCTCCGGCGCCATCACATATAGATTAGTTGAAGCTTGTTTAATTTCAAAGAAATTGTGTTATGATGCAACGGCCGTACCGGTGCTCAAATAAGCAGAGTATGATGGTGATCATGTCCTAAAGATGTGATGAACAATATCATAACAATGTGATAAGCTGATAGGGACAGCATTGAATTAGTGGTACATCAATACAGGGGTGTATACAACCTAGTCAAAACCACTGAGGCAAGCAGCTCAGATCATAACTGAGGCTGAGTAGGCGCGTGCGCTGCTCGCACTGACAGCACATTTTGACGACACATTTAGGTTATAAAACCTTGCGAAAGTGCTGGGTGACGACCAGCCTGCTGCCATGCAAATGTCCTGAGTAGATATGCCATTTGCCCAGGCCCACGAGGACGCGAGTCTGTGGGTTAAGTGGGCCCGAACCCCTATAGGACATTTCACGCCCTTAGAGCCATAAGCCAAAGCAATTGCATCGACGATCCAATGTGACAGCCTTTGCTTGGACACTGGCAGGCCTTTTGTCCAGCCCAAAGCATTCAAATAGCTGGTCCGAGAGCCTGAACTGTCTACAGCGCTCCGTATAAATGTGCACCGCACATACAGGGCACAGCAAAAGTGTATTAAGCGGCTCCGGCCTGGCCAGTATTTCGGGACGGAAAGCAGATAGTGTTATGACCTGCGCTTTAAATGGAGTCTAAAGCACTTTAGGCACATAAGCCTTCCTAGGCTTTAAGTTGAGTCTGCAATCACCTGGCCCGAACTCAATACACGAGTCGTCAATTGACAGTGCCTGCAGGTCCCCAACTCGCTTAACAGAGGCCAGCGCGAGCAGGAGCGATGTCTTGAGAGAGAGCGCTCGCTGATTGTATGGGCTCGAACTGGCTTTCTTTTTTTTTTTGCACTCTTGTCGTCGCCCCGCGAACCGCACCAATTTGTGAAAACTCTCCATTTATGTGCGTAAAGACGTCTAGTGGAAGGAGCCCTAGCCTCAAAGATAATGTCCAACACGTGCTGAGGAAGTGCATCTGTTACAGGCAAGCTCCGTCGAGCGGCCAGATTGGGGCTACCAGCATCTCCACCAGTTCTGGGAACCACGGTTGATTGGGCCATTTCGGTGCCACTAACAGAACAGATTCCCTTTCCTCTCTGATTTTGCAAAGCACGCGAGGCAGAAGTTTCACTGGAAGAAAAGCATTCCTGCATACTTTCGGCCAGCTGTGAGCTAGTGCATCCAGAGTGTGTCAGTGAATAAAACAGCGGGCAGTGAGTGTTCTCCGCTGATGCGAAGAAATCCACCTCTGCCCTGCCGAATACACTCCAAATCATATTGACTGTCAAAGGGTGTAATCTCCACTCCCCGTGGATTACCCCGCCCCTCGACAGTATATCCGCGCTGTAAGTCCGTGCCGTAATTCAGGCGTCCGGGGACATGTACTGCCCAGATGGAGAGGAGGTGTTGATCTGCCCACAGAAGAAGGTCTCTCGCCAGCCTCAGCAGCGGCCGCGAGCTCATGCCCCCTTGGTGATTTATAGCACTGTCATGCTGTCCATCCTGATGAGAACGTGACGGTGGAGAATGTCTGGGAGAAAGCACTCGAGCGCTAGGTGTACAGCACGGAGGTCCACACAGTTTATGTGCCACAACTTCTCAGTTTCTGACCATGTCCCGAAGGCTGGTCTGCCGTCGCATACGGCTCCCTAGCCCGTGTTAGATGCCTCTGTTGTAACAGTCTTTCTCCTGATCACTTGGCCAATAAGAACACCCCGGCGATACAGAGTCATATCGTGCCAAGGGGTCAGCACATCCCAGCAGTCGTGCGTCACTTTAATGCGCAAAGTGCTCATGCGCCACACTGTCAAGGTGGCAGCCATCTGGCCGAGCGTCCTCTGAAAGCATTTCAGCAGGGGAGAGTGCCCTAACTTGAAGATTGCGAGAGAGCTGATCAGTTTTTGTGAGCTCTCCTCCAATAGAAACGCTCGCATATTGATTGAATTCAGCTCCACTCCTAAAAAGGAGATGTTCTGGCTCGGTACACCAACCAGATGCACATGGAATTGATCACTGTGCGAGGGGGGAGGTAATAAGGAGAATTAAACAATTAAACAACAAGGATATTGGTCCCCATATTTAAAACCAGTAGTGGATTAATTTTTGTCCTCCTGTGAAATTTGCGCCAAACATAATGTTAGAAAAGGTATAACAACACAAATAGGTCATATGCCAGTATAAACACTTGGTGATTGATTATGTGGACATGATAAAACGGGTGCAAGGTAAAAGGTATATGCTTGTGGTAATAGACAGATTTAGTAGATGGGTTGAAGCAAGCAACAGTGATTAAAATTCTGACAAGAGAAGTATTTCCAGATTTGGAATACCATCTGAAATAAATTCAGCTAATCGCAGGGTATGGTTGAGAGATTAAATGGTACCATTAAAACTAAAATTAACAAAATATGTGCAAGTAATAAACTTAACTGCTTTGCCTCTTGCATTAATGAGTTATCGTACGCAAATTAACAGAAGTACACACCTAACACCGCATGAAATGCTTACGGGTTGACCCATGCCTGCGTCATTCTGTAGGGGCCCCTATAAAGGACCCCCACTAGAACAATTGCAAATGGAACCAAGAACCTGCATGAAGAAACTAACTGCGATACACAAAGCTATCTATTTACAGGAAACAAGAAAACAGCAGCCTAGTAAGGAGACAGAGGCAGTGTGTCCAATTGTCCCGGGTGACTAATGGCGCTTTTCCACTGTGTGGTACGACTCGGTTCGGCACGGCTC